ACCACCGGTTAAGAGGGGTAATTGTGTAATTTTCTATTTGCTGTTTTTTTTTTCTCCTTTCTTCTCTTTGCTCTCCCTTCCAGGACTTTTCTCTGCTCCAACTCTCTCTAAAATGCCATCACATGCTTAGCTCCAATTTCATTCTGCAAATTCAATTCCCCACAAATTTTGTTTTATTTCTTTTCAATATTTTTTATTCTTATTCTTGGAGGGTGGGTAAGTTATGTTGGGCTGGGATTGTTTTTATGTTTGTGATTTAGTAATAGTGGATTCGATTTGGAGAGCAAAGATAACATCTTTCTCAAGCCATTCGAGAATTTTACAGTTCGCAGTTTCTTCCTTCTTTAACACGATTGCAGTGTTCGAGTCCGACTCACCCGCGATCTCGCCGTCCCAAAGCACCGGTTGAGAGGGCAAAGGAGATTGTTGTGGCGACTGCCCCAAGAGTGCAAAACAAAAATGAATGGGTGTGTGTTAGGGATGGCAAAAATCCTCGCGGGAGCGGGTCCCCGACCATAATAGGGGAAGATTTCGGGGCCAAATGAGTATTGAGTACGGGAATCCCTGAACTTGAAAAATCCCCGACGAGTATGGGGAGGGAATGGTATTAGCGTCCCCATCCCTGAACCCGACCAGAAAATATACTTTTCCTAATTGTTATTATCTTCTTTGGAATTTCATATTGAAGTGATTTTGAATAGTTGAGTTGAACTTTATAGTTAATTTGGATGTGTTGAATGATAAATTAATTTGAAACTTAATGTTAAAATATAAGATAACTATTCTTTTTATGCAAAAAAAAAAAAAAAAAAAATCGGGGATTCGGGACGGGTATGGGGGATAGTCCCCCAACGGGGACGAGGACGGAGACAGGGATTCCCCGAAGCCTATTAAATGGGGATGGGTTCGGGGAAAGGGGTGGGGATGGAGAGCGGGGACGAGGATGGTATTGTCATTCTCGGCCCCTACCCGACTCGTTGTCATCCTAGTGTGTTGTGCAAGCGTTAGGAGTAATTTTTGCACGTCTCGAGTATACCATGTGGTTGGTATACCATCCAATACACAAGGAACATCTTTCTTTTTTCTTTAGTTTTTTGGGTTTTTTTGTTTGTCTGTTTGTTATTTCAATATTTTTTTTAAAAAAAATTTTAACGGGTGAAACGAGTCGTATCAGGTTATTCGCAAATTGTGATGGGTTGCGTTCGTGTCTAGTATTTTTCACCCGTTAACTTAACAGGTCGTTTTGTGTAAACCCATTAAAAAAAGCATGTTGACACAAACACGACAACTACAACCCGTTAACAATTAAAATACAAAACCAATCATGAAATACATTTTACTGCATATTTTTATTCTAGGAATATAATTGATAAACTAAAACAAAATTATTTCAAATTCATGCACAAACTAAACATGAGAAAGTAAATAAAATAATATTTTCTATATATTTTTCTATCATTATTAAACATGAGAAAATAATCTTCCATTTTCTTTCCCTTGCTAAAAAACATAGGAATTAATTTCCTATCAATTCTTTTTTGTGGACCAAACTTAGCGTGAACAAATAAAATTTGTGAACCAAAACCTAATCCAACTTAATTTTAAATTACGTCAATGCCAGTTGGCTTTTATTTATTTATTTTTGCATTTACATTTTATTTAAAGAATAAATTTACATAAGGAATTAAAAAACTGATAGAAAAACTAAAAAGAGAAGAATAGAGGTTTAGAGCATCCACAATGAGCTCCCTAAACCACCTCCTTAGACAAATTTTAGAGAGGAATTGTAAAAATGCAACTCCAACCCCATACTCCCTATCCATCTCCTAAAATAGGGAGTTCTCTAGGAGCTCCTAAATTTGAGGAGAGAGAAGACTCATAGTACTCCCTATAATTTAATGCTGCTTTATTTAATGAGTATTTCAAACATTCATTTAATGCTAACTTTTTTTTTTTTTTTATATAATAGAGATGGACCAATTAAAAAAGAGTTATAGCATTTATGACTCTCCATAGTAGAAATTTATAGAGAGCTCCTAAAATAGCTTTCTTATATTTTTAGCTAAATTTTAGTTAAGAAATAGAGAGCATCGTTGTGAATGCTCTTAGTGGGAGAGAGAAATGTGGGTGGGGTAGGAAGTAACTTCCTCCATATAATTACTTAGATGGAATTTGTTTTTTCATTTTTATGATTTAACAAATTGGGTTTTTACCACTTTACCCTCATAGTAAATTGTGGTGTTCTAATATATTTTTGAGTTATTCTATTTAAACTCCACACTTTTCTTTATTCACCTTAATACTTAAATCATTAAGCTCTTAAGTTTTATTATTGTGTAAAAAGACAAAAAAATCTCATCCAACTTAATACTTAACCCTAATACATCTATACACACACCCCACCACCATTCATGTTAAGTTTTAAAAAAACACAAACATATGGGTATTTGTAACCACCGGAGCAACCTCTCAAGCTTGGTCTCTTCTAGTGAACTTGCCATTGCTGTGTGTGCCATTTTGACAGTTGATTGGTTTTTCAGAGAGAGAGAGAGAGAGAGAGAGAGAGCAAAAGGGTTTTAGCAGGTAGCAACTTCAAGTGTTTCTATGCTCTCAAAAGGAAAACACCAAAGCTGCTGCCTAAACTTTTCTTTGTATACTGGATGTTAATTTTGGTAATGGAAGAAAATGGGGCAATCGAGAAAAAAAAATTACACATTTTTCACCTTGAACCATCCACTACCCTCATCATCCACTGCTTCTCCATCCCCATTTGATCAATTTCCAATTATATTCACCCCAAATAAATAAATAAAACGTATGAAAGTAGATTGAATATACAAAACAAATTTGGTTGATTTTATTTTATATAACAAGTTAGCAAACCGTAGCACCACTCCCGTATCAATTTAACTATCAACATTTCTATATCAAAATCTCCTCATTCATTCTCCAAATTTTTAACAAAATAAATAATAACAATAATAAAATAATGTTGCTACACATTTGACAACAATGTTTTTATCTATTTTAGTAATGTGAGGTTAAGGTGAACTTAGAGTGGATAGGGGTGCTCGCAACACGTTGTTCTGTACATCAAACTATGTGTGCATAAGAGTTTTTCTTTGCAGGGCTTGGAGTTGTGTTTTGTTTTGTCCGTTTATTTCGGGTATGTGTCGAATTCTCTTGTTAGTCCATGACATATGTAGTACTCTTTCCTACCCTAATGTTTGTCCTATGTGGTATTTCTAGAAAAGTTTTAATAGGGGAAACAGAAGAGATGTTGATGTTCATAGATATGCATCAAAGGTTTGGGCGAAAGGAAGATTTGTTGAGAGCTGAGATTTTGGGGGAGGGGTTGGGTGGGTGGAGAGATGTTGCTGAGAAAGGAAACACAGAAAGAAGAAGAAAAAAAAAATGCTGAGTGATGCTGCATCTCTCCCTTTGTCTCTCTCATATATATATGTATCACTGTTGTGT